TATTTATCCTGCAATTTTAATTGAGCTAATGGTATTAGAAACTGGCAACTCCAAATGACACTTTGATAAATATTTTTCACATTTTTTTATAATGAACAACCATATAATGAAGCTTTGTACAGCAAAATGATGGTGCTCCACATTACTTTTCATCACTGTGCTAAAAGAGTTCTAAGAAAGCCGTTCAAATATAGTCGAATTGATTTAAAACAGACACTTGAATGTCAAGCAAGATTCCAATCTTTTGTACTCGCATTCCGTTTTAATGGCTTTTAAACTGGTTAAAGCGTACACCAAACAACAAGATTGCAGAGTTCCCGAAGGTTGATAAAGAAAAATAATCCGATCAAGATCCGAGTTGATTATCAAGTAAATGCTTTTAAATAATCTCGCTAAAGGAAACTTAAATTCATACCCGCCAACTTTCGCTGTGTGATATTTTATAAATTAATGTTTAAAGGACGTAATGATTCGTATCTTGCTAATAAATATATCCAGCCTTGTCGACCTTAAGTTCTTAACATTACTTACATGATATGTTCATGTTGGTTTAAATATCTAATTTCGCTTCCAGCCCATCTATTTTAAAATATTTTACTGCCAAAGTTAATTGAAATCATCTTTCTAAACTCAGGAAGCTGCTTTAGTATTGCAGATCAAAGTTTCTTCCTGTCATTTTTGAATCAACACAATTTGTCTCATAAAAATGTATCGTTAATTTTCCCTGTGGGTATCGCATATATTATAATTTATTTTTATTAAAAATCAAATTGCACACAGTCCGAATGGTGGCAAATGCGTAAATCTACAATCCCAAAAAGTGGATGCCGAAAATTTTATGCGACACAGCATACATATAAACACAAAATACCGAAAGTTTTCAAATAAACCTAATTTAACTTTGTTCTTTATGTCTTGAAAGTTTCAACGACTTCTTTGCACGACTTTTTTATTCCGGAAGGGCACCACTCGTTAGAGGATTATCATATATAGTTCCACTCATTGCCCATTAGTAGGTTTTATTTTATGTTAACTGAGCGGTCTTTTGGTCATCAGTCACAGTGCAGTTGGATATTTTAATAAATTTATTTATTGCCGTTTGCAGAAATTCTCATTTATTTCACTAAATACTTGGAGACATCAATTCAGATATGAAGATGATGATCAATACCTGGCATGGTGGAATATCCGCGTATCTGTAAGGGAAAAGAAAGTTAGCAAAGTGAGATTTGCAGACGACACGTTTATTATAACTAATTAAATCTAATGTAGAACAAACGGAATTTATTATACATCGTCTGTCTAAAACCAGTGTAGATTTTGGATTAGACTTAAATCGAAATAAAACCAGGGTCATTATTATGGACTASCAAAATAACAACCCACCCAACGAAARACTAGTTGGGTTTGAAGTAGTTAAAAATACTGATGTAGAGAGTATATAGTTGACAACCTTATTATACATACTTCGAACTGCCGTACTAARTTTATTAAGACATTAAGGGAGTACAGCCATCACATTCTCTTCCYMGTGGTCGCTTATGAGTCGGAAACTTGGACACTCAAAAAAAGTGGTACCAGGCGGAAAGAGGCTTTCGAAATGTGGGCATACAGACCGCGCACAGTATGAAAAARTAAAAACATTTCTAGTTCGTAAACCTAATATCTCAAGATTGGTGCAACTGATGTGCATCAAAWTTSACTCGARTATACTCGACGTKATGTGGAATAGGGAATAAATATAAGTAAGCCCTAAAAATWATTTACACAGCCGGCAAATTCATGAGGAAATAGGATATTTTACATTTTTKGYTATAAAGTCATTCATAGCCTAATATGAAGTGATTTTTTTCGCGCAGACAATGTTGGWTATGYATTTTAATCTGCTGAACTCAAATCTAARCAAMTAAGCATCTTYGGATTATGATTTTTACAGAAAAGTSGATGAAACACTGAAAAACCTGATTTTTGGTGTTAAAATGAAAACTATTGTATTTTGTTGGTAGACTCTTTACTATTCATTCATAATTTTTATTCCCARTGAAGTATTTATAAATAGAACTGAYAAGTGTGAAATTCTTCCAAAAAATTATAGATTTTMATAGRTTTCTGTCCAGAAAAAAAATTCACTYTGAATTTTGCTAAATACTTCTTTACAAAATCGTATAGTAGTTAAACAATTGCCCGTTAATAAACTCTGAWATGCAATGTTACCTTCCGATAAAATGTCGGAAAAATACCAAAAAACCCTGATTTCCATAGTTTTGCTGCACAACTAATGTCCACTCTATAAATTGCGTCGGACTATACGTTATTGGGTACTGTCCATTGCAGAGTGAGGATTAATTATAAAAACTGATATTTGCCAAGCCAATAAAAAACCGAAAAATACTCGATTTTACAGATTTTGGGCATTCTTCGGTATTCTTATCCCAGATAATAAATTAATGAAAAAAAGCTGGTAAAAACTATTTTACTGGCTAGTGGAATATCGGAAACTACTGGAAAGTTTTTGATTATCACAGTTTGTTAGGAAAAATCAAATCAAATCTTGAGGTATTTGTACAGCAGGTGAGAAATCACTAGTGAAAGCTAGGAAGTAACATAACATACCATAACATAATACCGGAAAACTCCCAAGAACCCCGGAGTTTTTTACTTGTACGCGCATAACTAAAATTTGTTCTATTATTTGCGTCAGACTAGTAGATCCATGGGCATGTCTCATCGCAAAAACATAACTTTTAGCTGATTATTACTTTGTTACTAGCCAACGGAATACTGAAAACCGGAAAACCTTAAACTTCCATAGTTTTACGCACTGAACTAACATGCAATCTATCATTTGCGTCAGACTAATCTTTCTTTGGGTAGTTCTCGTTCCAAATAAAGAATTATTCAAAAAAGGTAATACCAACCATTTTACTGGCTAACTAAACGGAATATGGGAACCTATTAAAAAATCTCTGGTTGTCATAGTTTTTGTTCGGGAAAAGCAAATCACATCTTGAGATATTTGTGCGGTTGGTAAGTCATCAGTGGTAAAAACTATGAAATAACATGTTACCTACCAATACAATTCCGGGAAACTCCGAAAAATCCCTGATTTCACTAGTTGTTCGCTAAGAACTAAGATTTACCTTATTATTTGCGTCACACTAGTCGCTCTAAAAGTCTTGATTTTTAGAAAATGAAATTGATTTCACAATTTAAATAAGATTAATCATTCCTTGAGATATTTTTATCGCTGATGAAAAAGTATTTGTTAAAACTAGTTAGTTACAATGTTATTTTTCCACTAACTTCTGAAAGAACTCTAAAAATCACAGTCTTGTAGTTAAAAAGATTTTAAATTGAATCTGCGGTTTCCAGAAGTAAACTATTTTGTTGAGTTTTTCTACTGATGATTTCTCTTGATTTACGTATACAGAATTAAAAAACTTGACAACCTGAACACCTAATTTTGATCCTGTCAATCTTAAGTCCGCAGCATAAATCAACACTCCTTATAGTTATCAGTTTCAGGTTCTTTCTTTCAAAGCTATAAAGCCTCAACCTGACGCCCCAAGTGATCTGATCACCTGATCCCACAAACCTCCACAATTTAAGTGTACATCTGAAGTTCACAACTGTAAGCGCCACAAAATCCTAATTATTAATTTCAAATGATTTCTTACCCACCATACGAATTTCGCAAGATATGATTTGTGTACTTTTAATTTCAATGACTTTATTTTTCTGATCAAAAAAACTGTTAAACTCGGGGATTTTCCGGTATTTTCTTGGTCAGTAACATGACAAATTTCAGCATTCAGAATTAATTCTCGCTCTGTCATGAGCAGTACCCAAGAACGGTGGTGCAATTTATAGAGTGAACATTCGTTCTGTAGTTAAACCATGGAAATCACCGTTTTTTCGTATTTTTTCAATATTTTATTGGAAGGTAACATAGCATTTAATAGTTTTTGCGGGCAATTGTTTAACTACGATGAGAGTTTCTCAAGTAATATTTAGCATGATTCAAATTTCAAAGTAATTTTTTTTTCTGAATAGAAAACTGTGAAAACTCGTATGTTTCTGTGGTTTTCCGCAATTGAATTTGATATTTATTCTTTCTATTCAAAATAATTGATGATAATACTGATGAGTTTGACAACAAAATAAAAAAAACTAGAGCTTAATCGATTTTTACCGAAAAATCAGACTCCGAAGCCGATTGTTTTATGTAGGTTTTAGTTCAGCAGATTAAAATACATAACCAACATTGCGCCATAAAAGTATGATTGACTTTATAGCAAAAAGTGTAAAATACCCTATTTCATCATGAAACTGCCGTCTGTGGAAATTATTTTTGAGTCTTACTTATATTTTTCGCTTATTCCACATTACGTGAGGTATACTCGAGTCGATTTTTATCCAAATCAGTTGGTCCAATCTTGAGATATTAGGTTTACAAACAAGAAATATTTTTTCGCACTGCGCGGCGGCTGCTGATATTCTGGACGGTCTACCGTACAAACGAGTCTTCTTCAAGAACTAAATATCACAAAAAAATAAACCGAAGCAATGATTAACCTAACTGTTTATAGGTAAATATAGATATTTGTTCCTACGGGTTGACCTAATTCATTGCATTGCATTTCAACCTCACTTTCTCTGTTTATCGATGGTTACTTCAGCTTTTGATATTTAAGCATCGACAGGTATTTACGTAATGTTAGTAAGGCTGAGTACCTTGGAAAACAGTGTTGCCATAATTCTCATCTCGTTTTTTGCAAATATCGCATTTTTTAATAAGAATTAATTGTTAATGTGTTAATTAAACTGTTTTTCGGTACTCCCTAATCAGCACCGGACCACACCCTCCGAAGAATGACGTCAATTTTGGATCACACTGTATATAGAAATACCAACTTCCATCTGATATTTTCTCAGCAGTCTTCACATTTTTACTATTTGTTGACGGTTGACTCTAATTATTTTTGTGTTTTCTTTAACAGGTTTCGCACCATTTATCGATGGTACTATTCTGGTCAATCCTACCTCACATTCGCCTACGACTAGTACCTCAACGGTAGCAACTGCACCAGGTTATGAGCTGGCAGACTTTCCTGAAAGAGATCTTCTCTTTTCATTAACCAATACAGAATCGTACTTGGACCTCAATGCACAGGATTTGGAGTTTGGTTTCAACGAAACGAAACGTGACAGGATTTTACGGACGTATGTTCGCAATTCGTATTATTTTCATCTAAATGAGATTTTCTCAACTTTAAAAAATGAGTACACAGATTGGGAGAGACCGAGTCAAAACCCTTTGAGTGTGCGCGACGCGGCTTTGGATGTGTTAAGTGACGGGCATACAGTGTCGCCGTTGATTAGGATAGGATATTTACATTCAACGGGTCGCGCAAAGACCTTTTTCCTTCATTTTCAACATCATACTGGGGAGAGAGACTTACCTTTGGTAAGTTTCGATTATCTATTTTTATTAATATCTAAGTATTCCATTAGAATATCTAGCTTCGTGATAGTGATCTTAAAGCTGTTGTATTCTCACGATCACTGAAAAACAGCACAACGGCGCCAGATCAGTGATTATGCCTGCCATGTTTTCAGAAATGTATATGTTACGGGCAATGTAATTATTTAGGACAGTATTCATAATGCTTGGTTATTATGAATAATGACCATTAAAATTGGGCAATTTGATAAATTTGAATTACTTTACGATAATCCCTCACATTGCCCGGTCATTATAAATACCGCTATTATTTCTTTGGGCACTTTGATTAATTGATGAAATTAATTGGAAAAAAAAATTGAAATCAATTCAACATGTCCAGTCGATTTAATTGACATGCAGTCACAATCTGATGATCAATATTAACTCATACTTGTATACCAAGGCCATCTTAATAAAAATTATTCAACTTCGACCTCTTAAAAGCAAAAGAGCAGAGAAGTGCTCCCAGTATTTTGCAAAGTGATAATGGCAGAGAATTTGCTAACAGTACTATTAGCGAACTATGTAGCATGTGGCCCGAGTTGAAGATGGTGCATGGGAAGCCCAGACACTCTCAAAGTCAGGGTTCCGTAGAAAATGCGAATCAGGACGTAGAAAATATGCTTTGTTCGTGGCTAGAAGACAATAGCACCAGGACATGGTCAGAAGGCTTACGTTTTGTACAGCAAATGAAGAACATGTATGAGGCCATGTTTGCGACAAAGTTAAAAGTTGGTCTGAAAAGTTTTTTACCCACAGACGTTCTGCATAATATAAATTGTGAAGAGGACTTAGAAGTTCTAGTAAAAGATCAGAACAATTTACAGTCTGTAGAAGAAGGTCCACTGCAAAATAAACCGAAGTCACATGTTTTAGCGGAGCTACCAGGTCCAAGGCAACATGATGAGGAGGAACTTTATCTTGATAGTTATGTTCAAACTTCAACTTTACTAACTAAACCAAGCCCTGATTTATATAATAAAGAATTTCAGGAACCTTTCGGGCACGAAGATTCCCCGGAAGAACCTTATGTGAAAACAAGGAACGCCGTCATATTAAAAATTAGGCAAATTTCAGCAAGCAATCTAAAAAAACAAGCTGAAAAAATGGTTCAAACTTCTAACTCAAAATACCCTGATGCTAAAAAAGGTAACACAGTTAGAGTTCGAGTCCCAGATGTCGACAGAGGTCGCACCGATGGAAGAAATATTTTGGCATTTGTTCTTGAAGTAACAGATGCTAATCTGTATAAATTAGGCACGAAACACGGAATCGTAAATCAACTTTATGTCAGGATCGAATTTACAATATGCAATGAGAAGATCATATATGGCGAAGATATTCCACAGACAGAGATTTTACTAAGAGAATGTGCAAGATTGTCATCCAAGACAGGGGTCTAAGGCTATAGTCGATGTGGCTGTAAATCCGACAAGTGCAAGTGTCGTAAAGAAAAAATGTAACTGTGTAACCCGAAATGTCACCAAAGTGGAAGCTGCTCTAATAAATATACCCTCTATGTATTGCTACAAATTGACATTTTTTATTGTGTAAATATAAATTCGTAAGTACGTACATATCTAATACATTATTTTTATTTGGACTTAAGTTTTGTTTGTACTTATTTCATCGCCACCGGTTTGTTTGTCAGCATGTGAAATTTTATTTGTTACTTTGTCAGTTAGGTATGTAAAAGTTTGTTATTTTTTATAAGAAATATAAATAAAAATTATTTTCAAATTGCCCACTTGACTTTTAGAACTATAGATAATGACCGGGCAATGCAATATTTGCAACATAATTTATCATTTTGTCATATCCTTTTGGGGACTTTTTAAATTGCCCGGGCATTATAAACAATGCCCAATTATTTACATTGCCCGTAACATATACATGTGACACTTTGGTTCTTTTGAAATTTTCTGTAAAAAGTGACAGTTGCTTGATGACACAAATAATTATTAATTTTTCCTACTACTACGAGACCGACAGATGACTTCAATCTCACGTGGTTATCGTGTTCGGTGTTAGATGAGTTATTTGCTTTTTAATAGAGGTTTTTACATCATTTCTTGAAACTTTTATTCGACACTGCATTAAAGCAAAAACGACACTAACTTCAGTTTAGCTGCAATTTAGCTGCACAACGATTATTTAAGTTTTTTTGATAAGTGGGGTATTAGATTCGAGATTCATTGCACATTTACTTTCCTTTCTTGTTATGCTGCTTCTATGCTAGTTATGTCTCGTCGAATCTTGTAAATCTTGTCCGTTAAATTGAAGCATGTTCTTTTTTTAGTTCTCTAATTCTTGCTTTATTTCTGAATGAACTGGATGCAATTGTCAATTTAAATTATCTTTACAGTGACGTAAAAATCTCGATGAAGACATTCCTATCGTAGATGATAGCTATTTAAATAAATGGAATATGGATAGATCAATTTGTGATTTTAAAATCGTCAAACTAGTCCGTCAGCCCCTATTTCGGTTAAAAAGTTAAGAAATTGTTTTCACCTACGAGTCAAGCAAAAGTTTTCAACGGTGTATTTGGATGAAAATGAAACTAAATCTAGCGAAGAGTGTTGAGTTAGCAATGATAAATGTAAATGGTAGCTTATTGTTCGTCAATAATTCTGCTGATTGAATTAGCTAAATTGAGATATTTCCTTTCAGAGTGTAGCAGGTTCACGAATAGGCACAGAATATTTCCTCTACTGGTTCAATATTTGATCATGTTCCTGATCCTTTTAGACATCAACTCGAGATATCAATAGTTTCCTACAATATGAATTTTTGAGAATAATGAGGTCTTCATTGAACGCCTGCCAGAAAAAGTCGGGGAAAACTTTTTGCGGGTTTACCTGTTCGGCTATATTTTAACCACTATCCCCATGGTTAAATAATTAAATGTTTCATAGTTGCCTATGTGGACCTGGAGTGATAACATGATACAAAGGGAACTTTTCGTATTTTTGTTTCCAATATACATAGACTCTATTATTGTTCCAGTTTAAACAGCGGTAGAATTTCCATTAATAAGAAATCCTGTCTGTTGGCAAAAGTAAATTTCTGTGCCCATTGCACCAAATAAGTAGAAAAGGATATTTACTAATTAGGAGTTAGAAGTATGGTTTATAAAAAAAATAATTTTCGAAAACTTCGGGAGAAGCGATCAGTTTATCTGCCAACGTGCTCAAAGATTGACTAAGCACAATTTATATTGTTACAATGACCTAGTTGTGAACACAAAAGTAGACGGTTTATCGATTTCTCGATCAATTTTTTCTCTTTTGCTAGTTCGCCTAATTATGGTATATTACGATATATGTTTAGATCAAGTGTACGTAAGAAACACAGTGCTGTAATATATTGTTTTAATAAAGGTAACGTGTCATCATAACCATAATCCAAGTACCTAATACCTACAACACCGCTAAGTTAGTAACTTGCTTTTGGCTTAAAATTTGGAGCAAAGTGGGGAGCATATATTATTTAACAGGGCGATGGAACGTGACGTGCATGAATGTCACAGATTTACGTACATAAAGCCGAAGTTTCAAACAGAAATTTTAATAGTCTGGAAAGTTATCGGCAACTTGGCTTCCACTTAAAACGCTGTGTTGCTCTTAGTAAATGTTATGTATAATTTTATGTTCAAATTTTAGAACCTTAATAATATTTGTATACCGTATTCTGCATTATCCCCGGATCACAAATTGTAGCCAGTTTTTAGTCCTGCTTTTATATGTAGGCCTCGATGGCGAAAATGGCAGAACACACTACGACTTACAGTGTAGCAGTACGTGCAAACTTCCATCTCTCACCACAGCTATTTAGCATTTACTAGTTGTTAAACGTATTACACAGAATGTCCATTAATGGCGTAAGCGTTTCGAAGTTGCATTGCCTGCGTCGCGTTTCGATGTCAAATTTGCTGCAGAGCCTTGTCGAGAGATTTTGCATCAACAAATGTTTTCTGAAAGATCAAAATTTGAACTTGAGCTGAACATTATTAACTAACACTAACTTGTATTGTTATTATTATATATTACGATTGTTACACAACTTATTAACATACTCTTTTTAGGTTCATTTAGGTTCTTTTGATAACGATAACAGAAAATAGCTATCGAAACTTCAAGATATATTTCCAAATTAATTTCTTTACTAATTGGAATTTTCTCATAAAGCTTGAGAAAAAGTGTGTCGCAGGATACCCTCTAGGTGATAGTTCTTGATACCCTTTTGATAAATAATTCATTCTTATTGCGAAATAGGAGCACTGTTTATCAATTTTTAATAAAAGACGTGAGGAAATTCTGCCTTTGTTTAAAGACAAACATTTTTGAGGCGAAATACCCAACAAGCAGTTTGTAATAAAACAAATTTGATGTATTGAATCATATAAATGCGAATTCAACTAAAACTGGAATTACTATACTGCAAGTTTCACAATGAAACAGTATGTGTTTCTCGTTTCGTATGTACTACAGCAAATGCATTGCAATGTGCTCAGTGCTCACTACAGAATTGAGGTATCGACAAACAACTTGTGTAAAAAATGATCCATTTCGAAGTTTCACCGCATTGACAAATCTGAAACTGTCCTAAATAGAATATAAATGGGAAACGTCCCAAAGAGCAAGATATGATTATTACTATCAAAAGCGTACGGAGTTTTGTTCGAAACAGTTTGCAACCCGAAATGATTTTAGTTAGGGCAGATTTTTTAAGGAATTGTAAATACAGACTTATTAAACTCAAAATTGAGAGAACGGTTGACAAGAAAAGGGATTCTAAATCCTAGATATACAGGGTGCTTTTTTAGTGCGAGAGAGTCCATTATTTCCGTTGTTGTTAAACTTTAGCAAAATAGTTTTATATAAAAATTGTTGCCTCACAAAGTGTGCATATTTTAAAAATATCTCACATGATACAGAGTGTCTCAGCAAAGCGAGGCC